GCGAGGCTGACTTACGCATAGCGGCGAACAAATTAAGCAGACAGCGCGTTCAGAACAGGACGTGCAAGCAGAGAAAGAAGCATAATAGCCCTACAGGGTATACAGTAACGACGCCGTCCGCTGTTCAGGAGGGGAGGTGCAATATCATACGATACATACAGAGTAGCCTGAATGCAGGGAGGCACCGAGCGAGGAGGAGACAAAACACGCGTGCAAACTGTAGGCTGGGAGGGCCGCAAGGTTGGCCAGACAGCAGCTGGGTGATCTGATTTCGCCCTCCACCCGATCCACCAATAACCTCCCCACCCCCCACAGTAAGTAAGGCTAACGGTGGAAGAAAAAAAGAGAAAAAAAGACAGGTGACTGCGTCGCCAGTTGAATATAACAGCAGGCGACGACTCAGGCGGCAAGCCTCAGAGTTGAGTGTGGCGTTGCTGGATACGTAAGCAGTCCACAGTTGGGTGGGCTCCGCAGGCCCGCCTCCTGCTTACTCGCCAGCCTGGCAGTGCACAGCATGAACTTGCAGAACAGTCGAGCGGCTTGGCTGTATCTGCGATGATCTGGTAGGCTGGCCAGATCGGTGCTGGCTGGCCTTTGGTGGTTGTGGTGCTCGCCGAAGTAATGTTATCCTAGTAGGTCGGCCTGGTCGGTACCCGGCTGGCCTGTTGCAGGCTGTGCGGATCATGAGACTTGACACTGGCCGTGCGGGTGTGCCTGAGCTGAAAGCCTGAGGCTGGCGCATGTAAAGTGGGCTGGCCTGTTTGGTGAAGAGCCCTGTGGCCAGCAGGTGCAGAGTCGGTGGGGCCGCGCCCTGTCGTGCCCGGGGGCCGGCAACAAGTGTGTGCGAACCCCTCGCCCTCCGCTTAAGAATATCCCAACCCCCCACCTCTGTGTTCGGACGGAGTGGTACACAACCGGGCCGAGGTATACGATCGAGGTCGGTTCGGGCAGGGTACCCTAGAGTTCTTCGTGTTTGTTGGATGTTCTTGTGCATCCCGGGGAGAGCACCCTAGGATATTCTCTGTTTTTGGCCTACGGAGGGTCTCATGTTCTTGAAGGATATTCTTCCGGCCTAGGTCCGACTGTAATCGGCAGTATGGCGAACGCCTGGTGCATGCAAGATGGCTGCCCTTCGGCTGCCAGGCAGTGGTGAGTATCATGTACTGAGCGTCAAGCCCACGAAGTGAACTACGCTGAGATAAAGAAGGATGCTGCCGCATGCGAAACCTTCAAGCCTCCTCCTCCTCCTCCTCCTCCTCTCACTTGTCCTTCTCCGTCTCTTGTTCCTCCCCATTTGTTTTCCCTATAAATCTCTCCTCCCTGTCGCACCCCCAGGCGTGTGGGTAGGGCGCGCCGGGCGTGTCGCCTGCGACTTCTTCGCCATTTCTGATTCTGAAGCTGAAAATTTACAATCGTTTCACGGAAGGGGGGCGGGTCGTTTTCGAAATGGGGCTCGGGGGGGAACCAAATGGAGCTCTCGCGTGGGCGCCGCGCACATTTCGTTTCTAACGTCTGCAACTGCCATACCTCTTCGCACCTCTGGCTGGTTATTCGCCCGAAGGATGTCGGGTCGCTCCTTTTCAAACCGCTGGATGGCAGTCCCATGGGGGTGCTGGTCCTTCCAGTGGGCGCTTCTTGTAGCGATAGGGAAAGCTTGCACGGACTAGTGAGGAAGGGATTTGTGACGGGAGGGTGTATTGCAGCATCGTTGATGCATTTTGGGTTTACTCTGGTCCTCTTTCCCCTTCTCCTCCTCCTTCTCCTCATCCTTTTCTCCTTCCCCCTCCCCCTCCCTCTCCTTCTCCCCTTCCCCCTTGTCCTCGTCCTCGTCCCTCTCCTTCTCCTCCTCCTTCCCCTCCCCCTTCCCCTCCCCTCCCATTCCTCCTCCCCCTCCCCCTCCACCTCCCCTTCCCCCTCCCCGCAAATGGCCCCCTCCTCCCCTCCCCCATCTCTTGCGGCTGAGGCCCTTGCTCGTCAGAGTGGCAGGAGCGGGGGCGCCTCTCGCAGGGCAGAGGAACTGATGGGGGAGCATGGGGAGGAAACCTGTGACGTATCTTCGGTTGGTCTACTCGGGTCCTCTCTCTGCCCCCCTCCGCCCCTTGGGGCGGAGGACGGCGAGCTTGGCTCTGCGCCCCCCGCCCCTGCGGCAGAGGACGGCGAGTTTGGGTCTGCCCCCCCCACCCTTGCGGCGGACGGCGAGTTTGGGTCTGGCCCCTCCCCCGCCGTGTGCGGCGGAGGACGGCGAGTTTGGGTCTGGCCCCCACTTGCGGCGGAGGACGGCGAGTTTGGCTCTGCCCCCCCCCCCCCCCCGTGCGGCGGAGGACGGCGAGTTTGGGCCCCCAGGCCCGGGGCGGCCCGCGGCCTCTCTTCGGCGCGCGTCGTCGTCGTCGTCGTCGTCGTCGTCGTCGTCGTCGTCGTCGTCGTCGTCGTCGTCGTCGTCGTTGGCGGCAGCGGCGGCGGCGGCGGCGGCCGTGTCCGTCGTCGGCGTCGGCGTCGGTTGCGTCGTCGCGGTCGTCGTGGTCGTCGGCGGCGGTGTCTTCGTCTTCGTTTTCGTCGCCGTCGTCCTCGACCGTCGTCGGCGTCGGCGTCGTGGTGTCTTGGTCGTCGTTGTCATCGTCAATGTCGGCGTCGACGTCTTCGTCGGCGTCGATGTCGTCGTCAGCGTCCGCGGCGGCGGCGTCGTCGTCGTCGTCGTCGTCGTCGTCGTCGTCGTCGTCGTCGTCGTCGTGGTCGGCGTCCTCATCGCCCGCTCTCCTGGGTGCAGTTTCGGTGTGGTGGGCCGTGTCTGTGTCGCGAGGTAGGCAGTAGAGCATACGTCACCTGTGGACACCTCAGCGAGCCCGTGCGGCATGTTCGTGTCATGCAGACGCGGTAGCGACCCCGCCGCGGGCGATCAATGTTGAACACCGCCAGTGGCCCAGAGTCGGCCAATACGGAATGATCTGGGGATCGGGAAGCCGCCGATCGTTCAAGATTGAATGAGTCACGCGATGTCAGAAGCCATCGCCGACGTCGTCACGACACGAGCCTGCCGTAGCCTGTCTTCATTCTTCCCTCTCGGGGGCCCTGGGCAAACCCCCAGCAGAGGCTCTTGGGCCGCTCTCGGGGCCGCTCTGGCCGTCCTAGAGGCCATCCTGGTGGTCTCTTCGTGCCCTTCCGGGCAATCTTGAGGCCTCTCGGGCCGAAACGCCCGCCAATTTGGCCGACAGGGTGTGTCCTGGTCGCATCTGGCAGGGGCCGCGCCGTGTTCAGTTTATCCGGGGCGCGTCTGGACGATCGGGGCCCAGGCTGCAACCTCTTTGTCTTCCACCTGCCCGACGACTGGGGGGACGATGACCTGCTGGAGTATTTCGCGCCGCACGGGAGCGTCATCAGCGCAAAGGTGATGAAGGACCGCGCGCGGCGAGGCCCGGAGTTCTGCGGGCCGCATCGCCAGGATACGGTCGGGAACTGCTGGTCAGCGTGCCGCTCCGCCAGTTTTGGCCCACCACGCTTCGGCGCGTCACGCCCCATCGACGGCTCAGCCCCCCTTGCGTCAGTGCCCCGAGCTGTTCCCAGCCTCCCGCCCCGCGGAGGGGAGCGACGCACTGTCCGCTTGCAAGGGATAGCGTGTCGCAGGGGCCGCGGCCGCGACACGCTGAGCACAAGTTCCTGACCGTAGAGCTTTCCGCGCCGTCGTTGGCCCCGTCGAGGAGCTCTCTCACGACCCTTGTAGCCATCGTGGCGCAGCAGCTGGCGCAACGGACAGGCGAGTACGTGTCAGCTGGCGCGGACTCTACAGGTAGCAAGGGAGGTCCCGCCTAAGTGAGGAGGGTATCGGAGAACCATAGTATTTACAAGGTTTGGTGCCCCTCCCACCCCTCCAGGGAGGCCCCGCCAGAGCGAGGAGGGTATCGGAACCCCATACCATTTACACGGTTTCGTGCCCCTCCCATCCCTCCAGGGAGGCCCCGCCAGAGCGCCGTTGAGGACCTTGACAGGCCCCGAGGGCGCCCACAGAGGCTCCACCACGCTGCCCACTTAGACCCCACAGTGACATCCTTATGTGGGGCACCGCGGTAGCATGATTTCAATATATGGGTCTTCTTCTTCCGCCTCCAGTCCCAATCGACCGTGCCTGTGTTCTACGCCGACTGAGGCGGCGAAGCGTGTTGCGCTACGCTGTTGCCTGAGACTCGATATTCCCAGACATCCTACGATGTGTTTTTTTGTCAACGCGCGGCCCGAGAGGTCCAGGCTTTCTTCCCAGGGGCACTCTTGCGTCCCGGATTGGTTTTTGAGGTCCCAGAGCCCGATAGCGGGTCCCAGAAACTGGAATCCAAGAAAACCGTTGGGACCGGAACAGATCACATGAGCTTCCGCTCGAGGTCTGATCGAGTGCACATCCTCGTCTCCCCGTCTCCTCCCTCATACGGCTGGCGTTGGAAAGATAGCATCCAATGCGGCGCCGCCGGCCCGCCTGTCACGCGCTGCCCCCCACCCTTGGGGATGGCGTGCGCCCAGGAAGCCCTGGCAGCGGCACGGCGTGCACGGCAGGGGCCCTCGCGGGGGGATCGCCTCACAGGGACAGCGTGTGATGGGTTTGTTTTCCACCACCACTACAAGTTGGAGGGGGAAGGAGGAGGACGAGGAGGAGGAGGAGGAGGACGAGGAGGAGGAGGAGGACGAGGAGGAGGAGGAGGAGGAGGAGGAGGAGGAGGGGGAGGAGGGGGAGGAGGATGAGGAGGAGGAGGAGGAGGAGGAGGAGGAGGAGGAGGAGGAGGAGGAGGCAGGAGGAGGAGGAGGAGGAGGAGGAGGAGGCAGGAGGCAGGAGGAGGAGGCAGGAGGAGGCAGGAGGAGGCAGGAGGCAGGATGCAGAGGGCACGAGGCAGGAAGAGGGAGGAGGGGGCAGGAGGAGGCGGAGGAGGAGCAGTCGGAGCAGCAGGGGCACGAGGAGGAGATGGACGCGGGACGCGGAGGCAGCCCGCCCCGAGGGCGGGAGGGAGCACGGAGCCGCCCAGGAGCTCGGCACGGGGCGCTCGCGGGGCTTCGGCTTCGTGAGTTACGAG